TTATTATAGCAATAGAAAACTGTGCAATTCATTTCAATGGGGCAGACTATAAATTATTTGTGGGCAAGGTCTGAGAGGATGCTGCTAGCTAGTGATAGAAAGATCCATAAGCCCTTACAAGCAGTTGCCATTTCATAAGTTGCTTCATTCCTGTCCACCATGTTAACTACTACTGCCAGCTAGATGGTTGGTTATTTCTTGGTTAGCTGGGTGGGCGAGGTTGTAAATTATACTAGTTCTTGAGAATTAGAACCAGTACTACACATGCATATTACTAGTACTACCCACATATTACCACTAGCACTGAGTGCTTCTCCTTTGTCTCAACAGCATTACTAGTGCTACACAGGCACACCCATTGATAAAGACCAAACTGACATGTGTGCACTTCTTTATGTAGATTGGCTACACGAAATTAAATCCCAGATAAGAACAGACTCACAAGGATGACAAGGAGAACAAAACTACAATTGAACAGATTCCCCATCATTCCCACAGTGACCAAACATGCATTGAGCAATACCCAAAGGACACGAGAGAAGCAATATTGCACAAGAATTGCGCTCATGTTCATGTTCCTCCATGAAGTTTCAAGCCACATCGGGCGCTACCTGGGAATGCGGCGGATGGGAGGTCAAGACTTTGTCGGTCTCCTCTCTAGGTGTCCGGATCCGGTTTGCTTGCTACTAAACCTGCTGATTGTGTGAGGTTACTGTTAGAGTTGAAGAAAAAGAAAAGGATTCGTGAGAGATGGAAGGAGAGAAGAGGTGGAGGGGGAGACTTGCCCGGGGAAGGAGGTGAACTACACAACAGCGCTCACCGGCGGCTGGACGGGAATGTGGAGGCGGCTACATGAGGTCGGAGCAAAAGAGGAGCAAGAAAGGAAAAGAGTAAAGGAAGTGATTATTCGGCTCAGCGGGAAATCTCACCGACGACGAGGAAGCCAAGCGCCGTGGCGACGGAGCAGAGGCAGAGGAAGGATCAAGGAGAGAGGAATGGTGTCGCGGGACAAGAGAGATGTGTTGAATCATGGAATGGCGGCTTTGAGGGGGGATTGGTTTTACATACTGTCCCACATCAGTGGAATCTTGGAATGAACTCCCACGCCCATTCCGAGACAGCTAAACACAGTGGGTTCGGATTTAGTAAATGAATTACGTGATTCTAGGCCCAAATGATAGGACAAACAAGCTGCAAGTCTAATCTAGGAGAGTGGGTATAGAAAAACTATGACATCACTTGCCATGCTCATTAGTTGGACCCTTTGAAATGAGAGGAACTCCTGGGTTTTCCACCACAAGAGTGCTCCACCTTCAATCTTGCTCAACACCATAAAGCTCGAGGCAAGACTTCCGGTTACTGCCGGCGCCAAATATAACACAAACATTATTCTCTTCTTAATTAATGAATAAGGCAAATCTTATGTCTCCATTTCAAAAAAAGAGAGAGTACAAGTGCTCCTAGATTTGCAAATGCACCCAGAGTCCCAGCTTATCTGGCACTTCCGAGATTTGTTTTCTTTCAAACCTCACATCATGACGGCATAACAAAATATGCTAACAAAACTAAAAATCAGCGACGAGAAGGATGGTACATCAGCGTTCATTTGGCAGCAAAACTGGATCCTACAGGACTTCAACATGAGCCCTATTGTTAGTAAAATAATTGATCCGCCTCTACTGGTGGCCGACTTGATTACGGCTGAGGCGTCCTGGGACATGGGCAAATTGGCTCAAATCTTCTTGCCTACAGATGCACAAGCTATTGCTGCTATCCCTCTTTGTACAAGGCAGGTGGATGACTTTTGGTCATGGATCCATGAGAAGAATGGTGTTTTCACAGTCCAGTCAGCCTACAGAATGTTAGTATCCACAAAGACTTGACGGGAAGCTTGGCTTGAGGGCAGAGCAGATTCCTCAAATTCGGAGAGGGAGACGAAGGCATGGACAAGTATGTGGAAGACCAACGTCCCATCTAAGGTTAAAATTTTCTTATGGAGGCTTGCTCAGCAATCTCTGCACACGGCTGATCTTCAAACTCATAGAAACATGGCGACAATGTCTTCGTGTGGCCTTTGTGGAGCGGACGATTCATGGCAGCACTCTCTCCTTCACTGTAACATGGCAAGATGCGTATGGGCGTCGGAAGACCCGGACCTTGCTGATGTTTTTCACAACATAAGGGAACCGGAAAGCCAAAAGGTGGATATTTATACTAATTGACGGCCTGCAACATGATGATTTCATCAGGGTCATAGTGACATTGTGGGCTATCTGGTACGCCCGTTACATGAGCATATCTTCCAGACCCCTCACGCAACCCATCATTTTATCCGCAACTATATTAGGGAGCTCAGCAAGATCAAACCACATGGGACACAAGCTCCACCAGCGGCAAGGGCACCCCGCCCGTGCAGAATGCCTCCGGCGGCAGGATTTGCTAAGATCAAAGTGGATGGAGCTACTTCAAAGTGGTTGGATCTTTTAGTGCCGTGTCCAGGGATGAAACAGGGAAGTTCATGGGCGCGTCAGCTATCAGATGCGTTGGCATAACTGACCCAGCAGCTTTGGAGGCGCTAGCCTGCCGAGAAGCCCTTTCATTGTCCCAGGATCTTTCTCTAACACATGTGATGATAGCATCAGACTGCCAAGAGGTTGTTAAAAAAAAAGGGCAACCTGGTGCATGTAGCTCCCGCTTGCGCAGGGTCCAGGGAAGGGTCCGACCACTTTGGGTCTATAGTACGCAGCCTTTCCCTACATTTCTGTAAGAGGCTGTTTCCAGGACTTGAACCCATGACCTCATGGTCACAAGGCAGCAGCTTTACCACTGCGCCAAGGCTGTTGCCAAGAGGTTGTTACAAATATCAAAATCGATGCAGGAGGCTTGTATGGCAGCATCGTGAAGGAGATCAAATCAAATTTCAGCTCAGTTCACGTCTTGTACTTCCATTTTCAAGGGACGTGAGTCTAATATTGAGGCACATAGCCTCCCTAAGCACACTCTAGGACTTTCTTTAGGACCCATTTGTGGCTCCTCGAACCTCAAGACCTTAATTGTATCCCAAATTCCCAATGTATTTGGACTATGATCATTAAATAAAGTGTGTTTAGACTAAAAAAACAGATCAATCAAAATGTAGTAGGCATAGCTACACAACTTATCTTCTCCAACATACAATAAAAATACCCTTATTCCACAACACAAAATTAAGAGATACAATGTACGAGACAAAAAGGGTATCCAACATTTAAAGACGTAGATCATATGTTTTATACCATAACATAAACATTTTGCGCCTCTGCTTTTGTGAGGCTATACTGACTATGCTACTACACCGTCGGCCACGACTAACTTGACCAGGGCTAGTCATCACCATGATCGGCTACCTCAACATTGACGTCAAGGGTTACCTCACAGCTCATCGGCAACAGCTCCAGTCAATAGCGTCCGCATCATCACAAGTGTCCACATCACTCCCGCTGTGACTGCAGCAGGGAGTAGAAGAGAGACATGGAGGCAGGGAGTAGAAGAGAGACATGGAAGGCACCAGAAGGAGACGCAGTCACCGCCTAGGTGCCGACAGATCAGAGATGCAGGTGATGATGGCGCGCGACATTCAACTTCAGTCACAATTGTCCACTTTGCTCGCACTAGGACTGAGGGGGAATGTTAGAAGTATAAACACGTTCAGTTAGAGACAAGGAGAAATAGAGATAGAGTTGGTTAAAACCAACAATGACTTGCCTTGTACTCTAAGCTGCTCTCCATGTTGTACTCTATATATGCCCCATGAGGTCAGTCAATGCAAAAACAAAATATCCAGGGTTCCTATAGTTTTCCACACACTAACTAGGGTTCACATCAGATCCAAAAATTATAATATTATTCAGTACCACCTCCATTCCAAATTATTTGAGGCTCTAACTTTGTCCTAAGTCAAACTTCCTTAAGTGTGACCAAGTCCACAGAAAAATGTGACAACATCTACAACACTAAATTAGTTTAATTAGATTCATTATAAAATATATTTTTGTTAATTGATGTTGTAGATATTAGCTCATTTGTAAGACTTGATCAAAAGAAGAGAAGTTTGACTTGGGCAAAGCTAGAAATAGATATTATCTGGAACAGAGAGAGTATCATACTTAGTTTGCAGTACCATAGGTAAGTCTGAAAGTGCAAAATAAGACAAAGAGAACATTTGATCAGCCTTCTTGTGAGCTACACAGGATGCACCACTCCAGATAGATGAGTAAAAACAGAGCGAGTTGATCTGCCACCAAACACCAGAATAGTACACACACCAGACCAGAGACTGCGGATCCAATACTAACATGTCGCTTTGACTGTAGCTGATGATGCAGTGGTCTGAGGGGACTCCAGGCCATTGTCAAGATGATGGGTTTCCTACGTTTGTGTGATACATGGCTGCTAGCCTAATGCAATACTAAACAACGAGCATGTGCAGGTGCATGTTTTGTTATATCTCAACTAAGCTCACTTGATTGCATTAATGACTTGTACATATCAAAATGGAGCACCTCTGATTCAATTATCAATGGTGCTCATGAGTCAATGATGGTAATCTATTGCATTAAGCTTGGACAACATCAATGACAGCATGAGTGATACAGGCGCCATCACTTTCTTGCTCTTACGGAAGTTCAAAATTACGATAAGACACAACCAAAAGATGAACTGTCAGGAGAAAATTTCAGACAGATTAGGAACCAGCTGCCATAAGTACTATAGCACCAAACCTCAAGCTTTGCATGTTATAACTAACATGTCTTGGTAAAGTTTCATACTCTTTCTTGACCACCACCACCACCAACAACAACAACAACAACAAAGCCTTTAGTCCCAAACAAGTGACCAAATGGGTTATATTGTTATGAGGTGCAGATTTTGCTAATGAGAGGACCATCAAAAATATGACTCAGAAAGTAAAGAACAAACTGTTTACAAACAAAGAGTAAGCCTTAAGAGTACCTCCAACTTTAGCAACCAAAGGGGTCACACTGTGACATGTTGCTAGCTCTTTCGAAGCTCCACGCATGGGACATGTCTTGCCTCTCCACCACCACGCTAGCATCTGCAGACACACATTCTTCTGAAGATAAACGCCTTAGCACAACATCTCTAGAGCAACCATCATCCACGAAAACACGCATCTCCTCCAATATTTGGGCTCTTTCCATGACAAACTTGACAAATGCCAGCTCGGTATCCTCTCCTCGGGCAGCTTCGAACACAAACTTCTTAATATGTGAGGTAACACATTCAGTGTGGCCTACTTGATCCCAGAAATCCACATCAACATTGGTTGGTGATTCAGAAGGAGATGACTGTATTCCAGCAAGTGAACCACTTAACTCAACAGGCACAAGCACAAACAATGATGATGATGAAGTGACTGGGAATCGATACCTTGATATACAAGGTTTCTAGGCATGGGAAGCATCTAAGCAAGAGGGGCACCAGCTTGACTTGCTTCTCGTCTCCAAACTGCACCTTCAATGCCAATGTCCTAAGGGTCCGAACCATCGCATTCGGTTTCACCTTCATCCCTATCCCATCCTATAATGAACCGAAAAGCAATTATGTAACACAGTACCATCTAATTGTGGGAAATAAGATGATGTGAAAGAAAAATTCAGGCCACCTTGATCACAGTGGGGCCGATCTTGAGCTGATGGAGTCCAACATCAAAGTACCCGAAAATTTTCAGCCTCGGTGCATTAATAATCTTGACGTGAGTAGAGGCACCGCCAATCGGCTCCAACAGCAACCGCTCCAAGTTGGGGGCATCGTCAAGGTGCACCTCTCTGACCATGGACCTCCACACAACCAGGGACTGGAGGCTCTCTGACCAGATGTGGATGTACCTTGGGTAGTCCTGTGTCAGCACGAAAGCGAGCCTCTCAAGCTCGGGGCAGCGCGGGAGCACAGCGTGGAGCTCGCGGTCCTGCATGGAGCAATGGACAATCCCGAGCTCTTGCAGGCTGGGGAAGGCCGGAGCGAGGCCGGAAATGTCCGGGAACTGGCAGAGCCCGAGCCAGAGGCGGCGGAGGGACGCGCATCCAAGGAGGCCCGGGGGAGGACGCCACTCACATTCAGCGGGCCAGGATCCGTTGACGACGGAGAGTTCCTCGACGTTCTTGGCTGCGAGGGAGGCGAACCAGGAGTCGAGGACGTCGGGTTCCTGGTAAGCGAGGTGCTCGGAGGAGAGGCGGGCGGAAGTGACCGGGCCCGGGTGGGAGTTCAGCGCGGCGGTGACTGCGGTAGGAACGAGTCCAGCGTCGTCGAGCCGGACTGGGGTGGAAGCCCAGAGGCTGCGCCAGCGGGAGGAGAGGATGGTGGTGCGGGCCGCGTCCTTGGTGGGGAGGCGGGAGATGATGTTGCGGAGGAGCACGTCCGGGAGGCAGTTGATGCGGTCATCGTCATCAGAGGCAGTGGACGAGGAGGACGGGGATGCGGTGGTGGAGACCGAGGGAGGCGGGAGGTAGGAGAGGACGGTGGCTAGGGTTTCGTCCATCGCCGTGGTTTGCTTGACACGGCGGAGGAGGAAGCGGAACAGGGCGAGATCTGTCCTTTTTTTTTGAGACAAAGTGAGAGATCAGGTGAAGCCCGACAAGAGTAAAGAGTTGGGCCATATGAAGGTTAGCCCAGTTCAGGTCTAGCAGTGAAAAAGGAACAATCGGTTCTACTCCAACTTCCTGGCCTAGCCCAACTCCCATTCCCGAGTAGACAGACATTGGCATCGGCAACAGGCTGCTAGTCTTTCCCTCTATAGTTAGGGTTTCTCTCCTCCCGGTGGCGATCTGGCCGCCGTCGAGACGAATTGCTCCCCTACCGCCGCGTCTTTCCGCCGTTCTTCCTCGCTAGCCAGGGTGCGCAAGCGCCCGACCCTAGCAGGAACGGGGACCGACTGGTTAGGGTTCCCCCAGGAGAATACCCCGATCTGCACTGTCTGCTTCGGGTGAGAGATATAATGACTTCTGGCGGATCTTCGAGTTCTGCGGGAGTTGGCGATGTTGAATTGCTGATGAAAGAATTGGGACTGGCGGAGGAAGATCTGGACAATGTGGTCTTCGATGAAGTGCAGGCGCCACCAGATAAACCTAGATGGATTGCTTTGGCCAAGGTTAATACTCCCAAATCCTATAGCCAAACCTGGTTCTATAGAAACATGAGATCGGCAATGGGACGCGGCGCAAGAAGTAAAGTTCAAGCCTCTGGAGAACAACCTATATACTGTCCAATTTTCATGCTTGGGTGATTGGGAGAGGGTAATGAACAATGGTCCCTGAAACTTCAGGGGAGATGCGGTGTTGATCATGCTGTATGATGGGATCACACAACCCTCAACCGTTAAGCTTGAAACAATCGACATATGGATCCAAATCCATGATGTGCCGGATCTATATGCCCATCTGGTTACCCCACTTGCTGCAAAGGTGGGTGAGGTCTTGTTCTCTGAACCACCATCAAATGACTTTGCGGGCAACTTCTATCGTGTCTGGATCCGGCTCAATGTTCTAAAGCCGCTAAAGAACGCGGTGTCGATGGTCAGGGACGGGAAGAGGCAGATATACAGAGTCAAGTATGAACGTCTTCCAGATTGGTGTGCGGTGTGTGGAATGCTAGGCCATCATTTTAAAGAACATGGTAGTGGGATCCATCCTCCATCGACCTTGGTATTTAAAGACCTTAGAGCTAGCTGGTTCATGCGCAGCGGTCGGGGTTCAGGTGAGGGCCGAGGCCGCCGGGGTGGAAGGCGTGGAGGCTATCGTGGTTCTAAGTCTGACAATAGTGTAGGGGGTAAGTATGGAGAGGCAAGATCTTAGCTGTGGAGAAGTTGTAAGCACGCAAGGTTTACGAGTCCAGGCCCTTCTCGGAGGAAGTAATAGCCCTACGTCTCGGAGCCCAGAGGCGGTCGACTGGATTATATGAATATGGGTTACAGAGGTGCGAATCCTTGTCTTGGAGGAGGGGGTGTCTTATATAGAGTGCGCCAGGACCCCGGCCAGCCCACGTTACAAAGGGTTCAATGTACATTAAGACGGGGCGTTACTGGTAACGCTGGTAATAAAGTGCTATGATGACCATAAAAGCTATTTAATGATCGACCGTTAGCGTGCAGAGTGACTTTAGGTCTCCTGGCCGTCGAGTGGTTGGATCTTGGTCGAGTGATTGCTTCTTGGTCGAGTGTCTTCGAGTCTGTCGAGTGGAACACCTTCAAGTCGATTGAAAGGTGATTTCTTCTAGAGATGTCCCTGGGTAGGACAGTTAGGACAGGTCCATGACCCTACCCTAGGTACATAGCTTCATCATTAGCCCCCGAATGGATCGAGGTTTGAGTGGGGAAGGAGTTGAGAACCTCTCCGACTCGTTTTTCATGCCGTGAGCATATCTTGTTCCGGATCAATGGACCTGAGTGATGACAGCAACTTCCTTTTCAGTCGCCTTGATCCATTCTTAATTCTTCGTCGAGTGAGTTTCTTCGCTTGTAAGGCTCTGAGTGACGGTGCGGAGGAGATCTTTGGTCTGACCAGTTGTTTGCTGCGCGCAGATTTCGCGGGATCCGAATTTTGGGGAAGCGCGCGGGACGGGGGAGGCTGCAGTAATCGGATGGGATAGAGCGGAGCCGCCTCGATCCCCGCGCCACCTTTTTTCGCCACGTATCGCGCGCGCGGTCGTTACGGGATTTGACAGAGCCGCCTGGGCCTACCCGTCAGCCACTCGGAAGCGGCCTGATATAAAGCGCCGGACCGGAGTCTCCCGAATAGTGCATCTCATTTCCTCTTCTCTTCCTCACGCCCCTCCGCTGCGCTCGCTCTCGCCCCAGCGCCACCGCACCATACGCGTCCCGCCGACGACAATGGGGAAGGAGAAGACAGCGGCTCTGGAGCGGGCAAAGAAGGCGACAGCAAGGTCGAAGGGGAAGGCGACCAGCCGGGGCGGATCTTCCTCGCGGTCCGGCCTACCGAGGGGCTGGATCCAGGGCGACTGGATCCACTCGAGGATCTCCCAAGAAGACCTCGACGACTTGGCCGAAGGGGGGTTGATCCCCTACGACTCGGCGCGGCTTCCGGGGAAGGAATCTGAGCCGCAGCCTCGGGAGGGTGAGCGTGTCCTTCTTGCCACCCACGTCGACCGTGGATTTTCCTTGCCCCCTCACCCCTTCTTCCAAGGGTTTCTGAACTTCTTTGGGGCACAACTCCATCATTTTACCCCCAACTCAATCGTTTATCTTGCCACTTTCATTTCTTTGTGTGAGAACTTACTGGGTTGTCGGCCTCGCTGGGGTCTCTTCAAGCATATTTTCACTTGTCGCTCCCAAACAGTGAAAAAGGCTAATCCGAGTGACGAGAGGACCCAAGTGATCCAGATGTGTGGGGGTCTTGGCATCCAGACGAGAGGGAAAAGCTCCTTCCCGGCCATGATTCTTCCCGACTCAGTTCGCGGATGGCAGTCGACCTGGTTTTACTGTAAAGACCAGTCGACGCCAAGGTAATCGACTGGCCTCCCTCCCTTTACCATGGACCGAGTGGAAAAACCATCCCCTTTGAAGGTGCTCCCGGAGGAGAAGGCGCACGTGAAGGTGCTGGTCGACCGAGTGGTCCAGCTTATTCGTGACGGGGTCACTGGTATGGATCTCTTGGAGGTCTTCCTTCAGCGGCGCATCCAGCCTCTCCAAGCCCGAGACCATCCGATGTGGATGTATTCGGGTCTTGAAGACTCCACTCGGATCCACCCGGAGGAGGTCGACGACGACACACTGGAGAAGTGGTTGTCTAGCATTACCGGGAATAAGGACAATCCCAGGGGAGCCAGGAGAGTCCCTCCATTCGACCAGTCCCACGCACCCGAGCAGGTTTGATTCTGAGTTTTTGCTTGTAATCTGAATTCACTCGCGTAGCTGCCTATATTGCGTCGACTGACTTTGATCTACCTGCTTTCTTTCAGGCCATTATTGAAATGTATTCAATGCCCAACGGGGAGCAGGAGCAAGCTCTGGAAGGCGAGGCGAGTGGCGGCGAAAGCGGCGAGTGGACTTCCGATGGTGAAGGGGACGGAGGAAGCGACGACTCAAGCGCTGGAGAAGAAGTCGAGTCGCCTCCTCGCAGGGAGAGGCGATCCAAGCTTGACCAAGAACGGTCGAGTGCTTGTGACAAGGCAACTGCTCCGGCTGGTCATTCTTCGAAGCGCCCTCGGATCTCTTCACCAACCCCGACTGAGAAGGCGCCAAAGCACCCCAGAGTTGTAGAGCCGAAGACTCGGAAGGCGTTGCCGAAAATCAAGATTGATATCCTCGTCGCTTCCGTGTGAGTGCCTCTCTTTGCATTCACTCGATGCTCCGCGCTGTTTGTTTTTCTTGTTTTAACTGGATGAACTTTGGAACTGTCAGCGCTGCGACCTCCGGGACCTCAGCTTACAAGGACGAAGATGAGGTGATGGAGGATGCGGTCACTTCTAATCCGGGTATGATCCCTGCCATACTGTCTTTATTTTGGTCGATTCAACTGCAACGCGTACCATTGGGTGATGTGACTTTAACGATTGAACTTTGCATAGCTCCCAACGTTATTGACCTCCCTGATGATGATGAAGAGACCGAGAGGCCTTCGACGAGGAAAAATAGGCGAGCTCCTGCAAGCGGGGCGCTACAGACGACGCCGAGGGCGAAACCAGTTGTTCAGGACACTGGCGACGTCAATCGGGGTTCTGTTACCTTCGCTGAGCCACTGTCGAGTGCCTTGCCTTCTTCGTCGACTGCTCAGGCCCCTGCCGACCCGCCTTCAGTTTTTGCGACCCATCATGTCCCAGAGGGAGAGGTGAGTGCTGCTAAGGAAGCCATACGCCAGGCGGGCATTATGATGGAGAAGATGAAGATGGTGCGAGACGCCAGCCAAGCCGCCTATGACGCCAGCTCGACTCTCCAGAGCAACGTTCATGTTAGTTGGTTGCCGCTTGTTCTGTTAGGATATGCTACCTGAAGATTCTTTCCGAAAACCTTTGCATCTGTACACCCACTGGGTGTGTCGATTGAATTTTTGGACTAGTGGGGGCACGCTGAGTGCACCCACTGGGTGTAGTCCCCGAGACTATGGTGGACTGCTGGCAGTCGACTGTAGTCTTTGTATTTTGCCGAATGTATAAACCGAACTGGTAGTTTATCTCTTCCACTCGATCTGGTCGAGTGGGATCAGAACCGGTGGGGGCACGCCAAGTGCACCCACTGGGTGTAGTCCCCAAGACCGCGGTCGACTGCTGGCAGTCGATTGTGGTCTGAGTTCTACTTTCTCTCCCTCTTTTTTTACTCCCCTCACTTGACTCTGACGGGCCGGTCGAGTGGGATCAGAACTGGTGGGGGCACGCTAAGTGCACCCACTGGGTGTAGTCCCCGAGACTATGATGGACTGCGGGCAGTCGACCGTAGTCTTAGTATTTATTGCCTTTGTTGTTTTTTTGCTGTAAAAATAACTTCTCCCCTTTGATTTCAGAAATCTTGTGATCTTGGAGCTCGCTTTG